TCCTCCCCCGCTGAGAAGTTCAAGGCTGTGTTCAACAAGGTTGGATCCACTGTTCAGATTCATCACTAACCTGAACAAAATCCCAAGAGTAAGTCTGAGCAAACGTCTCCCCTCAAAATCCTCCCCTGAGGTAACGATTCCCTTACACTCCTCCATTGAGGAAGTAATTAGGGATGAATGGGATAAGCCAAACAAAGGCAAGCACGTTCACAAAAATGATCCTAGCTTCTATAGGATCCAGGACCCCAAAGTCCCAATTACTGAGATACCCAGGGATAACGCTGCCATAGGTTTCCTGGCTAAATATATGGTTATCTTCTCAAAAAGGGAGTTCTGTCCTAAGAACCCCACAAATAGGAAAAGAGGCCAATTTCAAAAAAGACTTTGAGGTCTTCTCAGCCTCCATCAGGGCATTCCTCACAGCTACTTGCTTTGCCAAGGACATCTCTCTCCTGGCTGGAAATCTGAGTCCTCAAGGATCACACTGACTTTGGCTCTGTTTTAAAGAGAGTTTCCCTGCCAACAACATTTGTTGTGATGCCTCAATGGATGTGATGAGATTCTCAGCCAAAGCCATGACTTCTAGCTCAGTGACCAGGTGCCACCTGTGGCTCTGTCCCTGGAAGGTGAATAGCCACTCTAGCAGGTGCTGTGCTCTGCCAAATTCAAGGGAGCCTTGGTTTTTTGGAGAGAAGCTAGCCAATGCTGCAAAATCTAGACAGTCCCTTCCACACCATGCATTTGAGAGAGAGAGAGTGCAGACCGGCCTTTAGACAAGTGTTCCTTTCAGCCTTCATCCTTGCACAAATACCAGTGAAGGGATAGCATGTTTTCCAGAGAAAAAAGATGGAATTTTGGCTTGGGAGGAAACGCCCAAGGAAACTTTGCTGCTCCCAAGCCTCTTTATGAAAAAGACCACAGTTGTCTCCACCTAGAGCTGAAGCTTGGGGGCAGGATTTCCCATTTCCTGGAGTGATGGGTTGCTTTGACCATGGACCAGTGGGTCAGGGAGGCAGTTAATCCATGATACTCCCTTGAGTTACAGGTGCCAGCCCATCCATTTTTCCTCCAGTCCCATACCTTGAATGACCCTATAAAGCGCAATCTAATACAGAAAGATTTCTCACCTGCTGGATATGGGAATAATAGCCTTCCCTCTGAAGAAAGATCCTTGGGGTTCTACTCAATCTTCTTTATTATTCAGAAGCATACAGGAGGAATTAGAACTATTCTAGATCTCAAAAGATTCAAATGAAGAAAAGAAAGTTCTGGATGGGAACCCTAACCTCTATTGTGTCATCCCTGACCCAGGGGGATTTTGTGACTTTACTGGATCCTGGTGGATGCATACCTCAACATCTCTATCAGACTGTGCCATCACTGGTTCCTAAGGTTTGGATATCCATATCCGATGCTTCCATTCAGCTTGTCCTTGGCCCTGAGGGTCTTTACAAAGATGATGTTGGTAATAATACCAAGACTCAGGCCACAGGGGATTCATCTGTACTGCTTCCTGATGACCTCTTAATCAGAGCCCCATCCCCCAAAAAGGCACACAGAGCTACGTCCCCAACTTTGAATCTCCTGTAGATGCATGGCTTTATTATCCACTCAGATAACTCTTGGGAGTGGACATAGACCCCTCAATTGTATGGATAAATCCATCTCTGAAGAGGTTCCAGAAGGTTAAAGATCTCCTCTTGTCATTTTGGAACTGCAAGAGGCCCACTATTGCACTGATCTTCAACTTCTAGGCTTCCTAGTTTCATGCATACAGATGGTTCCATGGGTGCAACCATACATCAGATACTTTTGAGGCTCCATCTTAAAGGTATGGAACTACTCTTTGGAATGTGTGAAAGATAAGTGAGGGTTCTGGCCCAGGTGATCAATTCCTTAAAATGGTGGTCAGCCATGGCATTTGTCCTCAAGGGTATGCCCATATGTGTTCCAGAATTTTTGATCCTCACAACTGATACCAGTCTGGAAGGCTGGAGAGCACACCTGGGGTCCCACACAGCTCAAGGCATTTGGAACCTGGAGAAAAGGATCCACAGCAGAAACCACCTAGAACCAAGAGCAGTCAGGCTGGTACTGCAAAGGCTCCAGTCCAGCCTGGAGGGGAACCAGATTCTGATTCAGTCAGATAACATGAGCATGGTTGCATATGTAAACAAGGAAGGAACAAGAACCTCAGCACTACACCATGAAGTAATGGAAATCATATGATGAGTGGAGCATTCTCTCCTCACCTTCACATAAAGGGAGACCTGAACAAGAAGGTGGAAGGGCTCAGCAGGCACAAGGTGAGCAACTCTGAGGGGTGCCTGAATCAGGAAGTCTTTGAGTTAATCATCCAATCATTTGGCCTGTCCTCAACTGACCTATTTGCAAACCACATAACTGTTAGAGACCAAAGTACTTCACTAAGGAAGTGGACCCCAGATCCAGGCAAACAGATGCCCTATCATACAGATGGGCACAAGGCGATCTGTCTGTTTTTTTGCATCCTTCCTGTTATTAGGGAAGGTGGTCCAGAAAATAAAACTAGAACAGACTACAGTAACATGGATGACACTGCGTTGCCTGAGGACACCCTGATTTTTGGACTTAATAGAGCTGAAATTGGGACTGCCATTGCAGCTCCCAAAGATTTAGGACATCTCATAAGGTCTTCTGCTTCATCTATACATGAACTGGCTGCATCTAATAGCCTGCCTAACAAAAGGGAAGTGCAGTATTGTTGGGTCTGTCCTCCAAAGTCATTAGAACACTTCTTTCTTCTAGAAGAGTATCTGCCTTGAAAGCGTACTCCTTTATCTGGTTCAAGTTTTGCAAATGGTGACAGGAGCACAAAGCAAATCTTAGAAATCCAGGCATTCCATCTATCTTGGATTTTCTCTAATAAGGCTTCAGCAGAGATCTCCAGCCCAGCACCATTGGATGTCAGGTGTCTGCTTTTTTTGTTCATCCAAACTTGCTTTCTAATAGCCATCACATCCTCCAGGTGAGTGTCAGAGCTGGCAACATGCTCGATGCAGGAACCTTTAGTGTGTGTTGCATAAGAACAAAGTGGTGTTCGGAACTCTAGAATCATTTATCCTGAAGATGAACTCTTCTTTCCACAGTTCCCAAGAGATGGTTCTACCTTCCTTCTGTCCAAGGCCACAGCATTCCACTGAGGAGAGGTGGCACACCTCTGATGCCAGAAGGGCTCTGAAAATTTACCTCAGAGTCCACAAGGAAATTGGGGGCCCCGTTTGTATCCTTCCATTCAAAATGCCAAGGAATCAGAACTTCCAAATCCTCTACTGTGAGATAGATTAGACCATGCACTGTGAAAGAGTACAAGGCATTGGAGATTGTGTCAGGGCACACGCCATGTGATCCCTGGAGACCTCTTGAGCAGAAAGAGCTAATGCATCCACTGTGGAAATTTTGTAAGATGGCCACCTGGTCAAATGCTACCATTTTTTGTCAAAACACTACAAGGTGGACTTCCTGTGCTCTGCAGAGGTATCCTTTTGGCAGGAAGGTACTGCATGTAGTGACCTGGAAATTGTTTTGCCTTTGGAGCAAATATTCTAGATGGGGAGGGATACTGTTTTTCCTTTCCTTTCTGATCTTTTCTATAACCCTCTCTACATCTGCTTGCTACTTCCTAGTGGTCAAGAATTGTGGGAGATGCTGGGCTGCAGAATGGAAAATTTCTTACTGATGATTTCCTTTCTGATAGCAGTCTCTCCCACAATTCTACCCACCCCTGGATGGCTCATGAGTCAAGGGTTGAGTATAAAGTGAAATTGTTACCATGAGATCATCTTCCTTGGTCTAATGAACGTTACTTTATCTCTAGAATATTTGTTAATGATAGGCATGTTTTACAGTTTGAGAATAACTCTCCTGGAAGCAGCCAGGAGTTGAGGGGACATGGCCAGACCATGCAGCTCCAAAATGCTGATCCGCCTGCACGAGCTGCAGAGAGAGGAAAGCAGCCCCGATATCAAGAACTGTGGGCGATGCTGCTAACAAAAGAAATTATTCGTAAGAAATTTTCCATTTGTCACTTTGAGGCACAAGCAGGTGAGCCTTGTTCTGAGACCAACTGCTGTTGCCTCAGTATCTATATTCCTTTGAGTGGCAAACTAAGAACTCTCCCAATTCTAAGGACTGGTCACTTAGGAGACCTGGCTTACAGCAATTTAACAAAACCTGTTTTAAAACATGGTTTTTGTTCAGTGCAAATCTGTGTGGCCACCCTTACTTCATAATAAGTGGCTAAAATTGATTTGTCCAACCTTAGGTAAACTAACTTTAGCCACTTTTATTTTATTCTGAAGTGCCCACGCAGACTTGTGCCAAAATAACTAAATCTCTTTTTAATGTGCATCTCTTTATTTTCATACAAGTTTTGTGTAGATCAGCACTTAGTATAATAGATTTTCAAACATAGTCATGATAGAGCAAGACCATAAAAAAAAGTAGAAAATCTTGCTCTGCTCCCTAAATCTGAGGGACTGCAGGCAGGTGAGTATAAATTCAGTCAGATGAGATCCTCAAAGACACACAATTACAGGTATTGACCAGATTTTTTTTCCTTTTTGAAGGTAAAAAGCAGTGTCTTAAATACATAGTCTTCAATCATGGAGGGTCAAAATTGTTCAAGATAGTTTCATATACCCACAACAATATGAAAAATACCCAAATCTTTATTCAAAACAGGAGATGGCAGAGAAAAGGGGGAATATTGAACAGACTAGGAACAGCGACAACAGCTTTCTTCTAGAATTGTTCAAAAGACTATCTGTGTAAAAAATATGACTTACGGGATCAGGATCAATTTCTTCCAAGCAAGTCTCCTCCCTCCCTCTCTTCCTTCATATTCTCAATCCCTAGTAGCTTGGAACTCAGCACCTTCATGTTATTACTGCTATTTGAGCTGTTTAATGGAAACCTGTTAACATTATGAAATTATAAAATGTTTTGTTTTTTTCTTATAGGAAGAAATCTACTTCATCTTAACCTAATTCAGTCCTGCTAATCTGCTAATATTGTAGATTGAAAGATTTTGCTGTTGCCAGGATATCCTGTAATGGGCAAGGAGCCACAGAGAATACAAATCGTTTAGTTTTCTTAACCTTTTTAAAACTTTTGTTAACAGGTAAGAAACATTCCTATTAAATTTCATCTATGGGGACAACTTCTCTCCCTCCTCCCCTTCTCTCCCCTCCTGCCACCATAAGGCATCGGTTTAAACATTTGGTGGTTCCTAAGTGCTTTAGTCTGTCATCTTTTCTTTCTCCCTGATACCTCTCCCCGTCAGAAAGGCTTACTTACATTATTTTTGTAGGACTCAACTGTTTTCCTTTAGCTGTTTTCCCCTTTTTGCAGTTTATCTCTTCTGTAGCCAAGCCCTTCCTTCTTTCCTTTGCAGCTTTCTTCGAGTCATTTTTCTCTTTTTCTTCCTAGCTGGCTGTTTTCCTTTGTATCCTGTACCGCTGTCACCACTATCACGTCTGGATGACCCCTATCCACGTTGTCGCAAATGTAGCATTGTGATGACCTTATTATTGGTTTTACAATGGATATTTTAAACTATTGGGGTTTGTGCTAGGAAGTTTCACAGTTGCCACTGGTATCTGGCATGGGGTACCAAGACTGTTAATGCAGATTCAGTTTGTTTACTCTGTTTTGTTGTGGTTCCCTCCCCACCCCCCCAATTGTGAGGTATTTGTTTTAAACTAAGCCAGGCATAGTGCTCAAGTTTTGGGGAAATTTGGGGACTTCAGGAAGGTCATTTGAATCTCTTTCAAAGCAGTGACTGGGGGAGAGGGAAGGAATTTTACCATCTTTTGGTCCAGTAGTGTAGGGAGCGCCAGTAAATCTATATTTTTAAACAGCCCATTTTAAAAAGTCAGTTGTTCTTTGACTTCATTTGAGAACACAAGGCCCACATTTCAGTACTGTGTAATCAAATCCTTTACTAGTTCTTTTGCTATTGGTTCTATCACAGAAGAAATGGTAGCTATCCAGCATTCACAGCATCCATTCTCTGTGTGCTGGAAGAAATTGTTTCTGAACAAATGTGTTCATGGATTGATGCACACTTTTGTGGACAACACTCTTCCATCAGAGGGTCTTGCTATCAACATTTGAAATAATAGTGATATTCCAGTCTACTTCTGCATCTGAATTCACTTTTTGCAGCAACCTGTGCACACACTATACTGAGACTACTGACAAATTGTAAAATTACTAAGACTGCATAGCTAAGCACCTTGCACACTTCTAAAACATAAACGAACAGTCTGCTTAGCAGAAGGCACTGTGATACTTTATTCCCATTAGTAGACTATATTATTGTATTAGGTGGTGGGAAAGCAAAAATGTTCTAAACCTAGCAAATAGCATTTCTTAATTTCTCATAGCATTTCTCATATTTTTTTATTGCTACTAGGGAACCAGCCCTGTTCACATCTGGAGTGGGTGATTCAGTTTTTATTTACACTTGTGTTTAAATTAAGAGTCCGAACTAATTCAGCATCTTTGCCAGTAGCTTTGTAGATACTGTGGTGGAGTGGGGGAATTAACAAAGAGACATTTGCTTCTTTTGTCTCAAAACTCGTAATTTCATTGATAACGTAGTAATAGTGAAGACAAGCTAGATTACATAACAAGTTGTAATAATCTAGGTATCCAATACTTTTGTTAGTAAATATTAACTAGTTTGGACTGTGTTTGTATACTTACTAGGTCAGAGCAGTGTATATTTGGGGGCTTCAGCAATAAGTCTTAATGAGGGTCTGTATACACTTATACAAAGTTGTGATCTAGCTAGAAGATCAGCTGCTGTTCAACTGGGAAAATACATATTCACTCACATTAGGAAGTAACCACGTTCTTTCTAAGCAACCTGTTGAATATTCCACGAACATAGCAGGACAGAGCAAGAGTGTCTTCTTTTAAGAGAATGGTATTCAACCCTATATCTGTGGAATGTGCCTGTTCTGTCTTTTTAGCATTTTTAATAGAGGCATATTTTACTAGTTCAGTCTGAACAATGGAACCAAATAGGAGTTTTTCATTCTCAATTTGCTTAAGAGCAGCTAGGTACATTTTAAGGGGAAAGCTTTTGAGTGCAGAAATTATGCAGTTAAAGATGAGATGTATGATAAATTGTGATTAAAGGTCAAACTTAAGACACAGTTCAGTCAACAAAACTAATAAAAGCTTCACAATGTGGGACTAGAAAACACTTTGCCTACATAACCAAAGGCAGCTCTGGAATCATAAGGATTTTGGACTCTGCTGGAAAGAAGATGCAGTACTTTCATTTGATATATCCAATATTTTAACACTGCAACCAGAGCAGTACACTTGAATATGTATTAACCACTTTGTGTGAAGCAGAACATATCCTGTGGTTTCCTAGAATGCAAAGAGCTTGAACTCTTTTTCATCGTAGTAACAGAGAATAGCATGTTTGTTTTTATCACCTCACTTCTGTGTACCCAAAAAGATTGAACTATAAAAACTCCACTATACATGACTATTTTTCTTAAGGTACAAGTTACATTTATTTGCTAAGAGTGAAGGACTCCTGAACACGTAAATCAGTACAGCTGTATCTTGAATTTGAAACAGTAGCTATGGTTTTAATATTGAATAATACTTTAGGAGCCTTACTCTAGGATCCTCACTCTTTTCTTTTCCTGTTCTGTAGAATGTAACAAAGGTGAAAATGTAATCATTTTAATTTGAGAAGCATAATATAAAAATTTACCATAGCATTGCTTTCCTTTATGTAAAAAAAAAATGATTGTTTAAAAAAATCATACTAAGGCTTCTGGGTATAAGTAATTTTTCAATCACTTAAGAAATTTGGACGAAAAGCAAGGAATTGATGTACCGGGGGTGGGCAAACTATGGCCTGTGGGCCAGATCTGGGCCGCCAGCCGTTTTAATCCAGCCCTTGAGCTTCTGCTGGGGAATGGGGTCTGGGGCTTGCCCCGCTCCGGCGCTCCAGCCAGGGAGCACGATTGGGGGCTGCTCCACACGGCTCCTGGAAGCAGCGGACATGGTCCCTCTCCAGCTCCTACGCGTAGGGGAAGCCAGGGGGCTCTGCTCTGGACGCTGCTCCCACCCCAGGTGCTGCACCCAGAGCTCCCATTGGCCGGGAACTTACTTAAGATAGCAATGATTTCTTTATCAAAAATTCTGTTTCTTGAATGTAAAATAATCTGTATGTATGGACTTGAAAAGTTATGGAGTTTTGAGTTTTGTAGTCAGTTGACATTCATGAAAGAGTAGCATTTATTTTTGGGTCATAGTTTAATTAGTGGTGACTTGAGAGAATATGCATTTCTAAATGCATTGTTAATATTTGTGGGAGTTGTAACTCGTAATCAACAATTCACTTTTTGTTTGTTTAAGTATGGTGAGTAAGTACATATGTCATCTAATGGCTTTAACTGGTTATTCAAATGAAGTTTCATTGGATTTTTTGGAAGCTTCTGGTAGCCTTTGCATTGAACTTTTTTTGCATCTTGGGTGACCCATACTTATGTTTAAAGGTGTGATGGGCACTGGCCAAAATACAATAAATGCTGGAAACCAGTAGCCATATTTACCCTAGTGATCTCAAAATTGCTATAGGGGAGTGGGGAATCTGTCAGTGAAAATGTACTGCTTATAGACAGCATTACCCCAATGTCCTTACTGAAAAAAATTGGTAATTAGTGGCAGTTGTAGAATGTATTCTCTGGCTTTTTCTTTTGTCAGCTTTACTAATAAGCATTTATCTAATTTTCAAATAATATCCATTAAAAATCTGATTATGCTTGCTTTTAAAAATTCTCACAAGCCAGTTCAAAACATATCTGCTTAATAAGCATTTATAAAGCATTTATCACTGTGCTATCTAATTACTGTTAATGGATTTTAAATACAGTGAGGCTGCCTAGCATTAGTGAATAAAATCTACTTGTGGAGAATCTTGATGTGATATACCATTGGACTGGCAAAGGGACATAAACATTTAAAACTTTGAAAAGGAGCTACTTTATACATCTCTCTAACTTAGTATATTCAGAAATGTCAGTTCAAATTCTAGTTGATGAAAACCCATGAGGATTTTTTTGGGGGTGGGGGGTAATGGGAGAGGGGGAGAACTTTCTTTACAATAGGACACAGATTGTAACCTTAACCCTGTAAAAGCTACTGCATCTCCATAATATCATGCAACCTTCTTTAGATATGCAGTAGTGGAGTTCCTCTCCTCTTAACTTCCATGGCCTCTTCTGTCCCTCCTGTGGGTTGTTTGAAAGTTATCTGCACTCTGCTAAGCTAGCAGTCGTGTTTTCCTCAACTAGTTGGTCTGCAAGGAAGGTAAGAACCTGCGGCTGCCCTGAGCTAGAGATAGTGATTCTTTAGTCTATGGGTTAGGGTCTGTCATTAGTAGTAAGTTCCAGTGTCTAGCGTGACTGGTGATAGGTTGTTTCATGCACACCTGCATGTGTATAGGAGGCGGGGAGGAATTTGTATGATATCTTGTACCATAAGATAAGTAGTTGTGTGATCATACAAGACCATTGTAATGCATATATATTATTGTTGAATGTGCAATCATAGTTTTCACACTTCCTGAGTCATGAATGTGTAGCCATGCAACTTTTTAATACAGCTTTCTGTATGGTCAGTCCTACTCTTCTAAAAATTCCAGATTATGGGATCTCTGGCTAGACAGTTGAAATAGTTCCCTTCTCACCTTGGTCGATCTGAGATGGGCCTTCTGTGGAGACCCATCTTGTTCAGTCCTCATGTGATAGGCTCTGTAGCTAACATGCACATCTTATCTCCATGTTAAATGCAGATTTTTAAAAAGAGATCCTATCAAGTTAGCAGATGCAGGACATAGAGTAGTCTCTGTCTGTCGAACCCTTTTAGGTTTCAGTGTTTCCTATTCAAGAGAGTGTCTCTGTCTCTCTCTCTGGCCTTTAGTTACTCAGAAAAATGGAGTAGCTAATCATGCTTTGCACTTGTATAGGAGATTTCAGTGCACTTTCAAATGTAGGTAAGCATTACTGACTTTTACAGCAGACCTAATTAGAGATTTGAATAAAATTGCCTGAGAGGCACCTGACTAGTACTTGAGACATGGGCCTACTACTTGAGATTGGGGTTCTGTTCCCGGTTCTGCCACAGACTTACTACCTTTGTCAAGACACTGCAAAACTTTAGAGGAGCCATTTTTGTCTTAAAATGCTCAGCTTATTCAAAGCTTTTGTTGAAAACGAATGTGTTCTGAATCTTAAACATTTGCAAGTATGAGGATATTTTATTTTTTAGAGGATCAAAATCAGCCAACTACGGGAAGGCTTCCATCTAACATTAATAAACTGCACACATCTGCCACACCTGGTCCTATAACTCCAAAACATGGGTGGCTATCTCTTGAAGTGAAAGAAAATCTTTGGCTCTCACGTCCTTTCTAAGCTTCTACCACCCAATGGAAGGTAACATACTGATGCACATAGTTACCAATCTTGCTCCCACTGAAGACCGTGGCAAATTCTCATTGACCACACAGGGAGCAAGACAGAGCCGCAGACCACTCTCAGTAAAAATTATTAACTTTGCCTGATTGCAATACCCTTTCTTCAGCTACAACAGGCATGTGAATTTTCAAGGAGACTCTGCTGTATGGAATGTTTGAAAGGATAACTGCTTTGCTAAAGGGAAGCAAATAAACATCAGCAAGTTAAAATTTCGAACCAGCCTAACTTCTTAATGATCTATAATTCAGATAGTGACACTTTCTTCGCAGTTTGTAGGTACTGTCTCTTCCTTTCAGAGTAAATTGGGCAATTTCCTGGCCAACCCAATTTTGGAAGTTAAGTTGGTTGAAACCTTTACTAGTAGAGAAGCTGTAGCTTCTCCAAACGTTTAATTCCAGTTCATTTGGGATTTTGAACTACGTTATTTTGCACTAACTTGGTCTGTTTTTAAAAAAAGTGAGTTAAGAGAACTTCTGAAAAACACACACTACAAGTTTATGGTGACACATAGGCATCTTATTGGGCTTGTGTAGTCTGTCTGAAAAGAGACAACAAACAAAGCTAACTAGCGAAATGTTATAGGTGATGTTAATCATGCTCTTAGAGCTATTTTGCCAGCTGTCGACTTCCATGGTATTCATTTTTTTTTAAACCTTCTCAATTCTAAGAGTGACTCTTATAAAGTTATCCTGAAGCAGTTGCTTGTGTTGATACTTAGTTTTGAGCATGCTTCATGTTTAAAGTCTCAAATTTTGTATCTTGAATTGAAAGCAACAAGCATGTTTTTAGGCGCTCTCACTGATACTGAGAGCAACTTTGAGTACAAATTGGGCTTTGGAGATGGTTGAAAATCTAAAGAGCAAGCTATAATGAATGACTCTTTTTGGGCTGTGGATGTATTGGGCCTAATTCTACTCCTGTTGCGGTCAATGGGAGTAGGATTGTGTAACCATACATGAAAGTTCCCCTTTAAAGAATAGGAATCTTTGGTGGGGGAGGAGGTAGAAGAAAACTATCAGTAGAGATGGACTCGTCACTTGCCTGTTTTTCAAAGTTGCTGTGCTCATTTGGAACTGCTCTAAGTCCTCTAGGTAACTGCCAATCATACTTTTAAGAAAGTTCTCTTCTCTTCAGGGTTCCTGGACTTCCCCTTTGGCACATTTTACGGTGTTTATTTTTCCTTATTCCAAGGGACCTGGGCTCCTGTTGGAAAGTGATGGAATAATCTCTGCTCAGCACCTGCCATGTTGAGGGAGCACCCCTAACACAGCTTGCCTGGGAGACAGTTTGTGAAATAACGCAGTAACATGTTTGCAGTAGTATGCCTTTTCTCTTATTATCCATTGTTAAGTTTATTTTCAATGAAATTATTGAAACAGATTTTGAAAGGAGGCTTGGGTGAGTGTCTCTTCGTCAGTCATTGCAGAGGGATTTATGTCTGGCATTCTTAACACTAATAGCTGCTACTTGCAAAGCTCCAACTTGTATTAATTATGGGGGGGGGTGGGTATGGGTAGTTGATCCTATGTAATGGGACTGAAATATACATTTGCTGCTGGGTCAACAATACACCTGTTATATTTGTCCATAGTAAATGGTTGCAGAGCTGTAACAACAAATAAGCCAATGTTTTTGAAAACAATTATATAATAAACTTAAGTCAAATTACAAGCTAACACATCTATTGTAAATAAAATCAAATGTATGGATTCTGACTACTCTTGTAAACTTACTAATTTAACTGGTAGGTAAGATTGTTCTTCTGTCTAATTGATTCTTAACATCTTATCTGTACTTGCTTTTTTAATTCTTGCATGGGGTCTCAGATGATTCAAAATGATAGTATATGTTAAATTAAAACTTTCACTTACTGCTTTCTCGTATCAGTTTCAGTGACCCCAGTAAATTTTTTTTAACCAGGAAACAAAAGTTTAATTTTTTGTTGGATGCTGTAAACATTCTTAAGATTAATATGGGGTGTTTAAGAGAGATTTGCGTGTTACACTGGAAAACAATATTGCCCTGGCTAAATATATTTAAAATAGGCATGGTGTACACACAAAACCTTATTATAATGTAATTTAGTAGTAACAACACCTAATGACCCTGTTATGCTAGGTGTTGTGAAAAATATTTGCCTTGATATATAGATAGATATACTGTGATGCTGAACTCTGACACTTCGTGTCAGCTAGACTTGATTTACATGCTAAATCCTTAACTTTTTTCCAGAAATTACTATATATACAGATTTTATTTGTAAGTAAATTGACTGCATTCTAGGTATTGTGGATGAAACGTTTAATTTAAATTTTTTGTAGGCTCTATTAGGCGCATGTCTGACAAATGCATAATATACAGTTTGGGTTTGTTGCCTGTGCACTCTAAAACTGATTTTGAATACCAAAAAGTACAGCTCACAGGACACTTCTGCTAAAGTATACATGTCTCTGTATGGTTTCAGAGTGGTAGCTGTTAGTCTGTATCAGCAAAAAACAATGAGTCCTTGTGGCACCTTAGAGACTAACAGATTTATTTGGGCATTAGCTTTCATGGGCTAGAACCCACCAGATGCATAGAGTGGAAAATACAGGAGCAGGTATAAATACATGAAAAGATGTGAATTGTCTTACCAAGTGTGAGGTTAGTCTAATGAGACAGTTCAATTGACAGCAGGATACCAAGGGAGGAAAAATAACTTTTTTTAAGTGGTAATGAGTGTGGCCATTTCAGACAGTTGACAAGAAGGTGTGAGTAATAGTAGGGGGAAATTAGGTTTATGTTTTGTAATGACCCAGCCACTCCCAGTCTTTATTCAGGCCTATTCTGATGGTGTCCAGTTTGCAAATTAATTCCAGTTCTGCAGTTTCACGTTGGAGTCTGTGTTTTTGAAGTTTTTTTTGTTGGTCTGACCTAAAAGTGGCAATTCTTCAACAAAAACTCAAAAACAGACTCCAACGTGAAACTGCGGAACTGGAATTAATTTGCAAACTGGACACCATCAGATTAGGCCTGAATAAAGACTGGGAGTGGTTTGGGTCATTACAAAACCTAAACCTAATTTCCCCCTATTGTTACTCACACCTTCTTGTCAACTGTCTGAAATGTCCACTCTCATTACCACTTAAAAAAAGTTATTTTTCCTCCCTTGGTATCCTGCTGTCAATTGAACTGTCTCTTTAGACTAACCTCACACTTGGTAAGACAATTCACATCTTTTCATGTATTTATACCTGCTCCTGTATTTTCCACTCTATGCATCTGATTAAGTGGGGTTTAGCCCACGAAATCTTATGCCCAAATAAATCTGTTAGTCTCTAAGGTGCCACAAGGACTCCTCGTTGTTTGTCTCTGTATATCCCTCATCCCTTAAGAAAGCTAATACTGTTGCCACTAATGTACTGCAGTAGTGAAAATTTGGTGCTTAGGCCTCTAATTGTAAAGGTACCTGTTACAAAATTTTAATGTTTCATACTGTTCTCTATAGACTGTTTAAAACGATGCTATTTCAGACTCAATTTGGCCGGAAGAAAACCTTTCTTTTAATTACTGGGTCTAGCTTTAAAATCCCCTTGAGTCTACTTCCTTCATCGTATGTGAATGAAAAAGAATTTCCTTTAAGACCAGATGATGTCTTATGGAAATAACTCTAGTAGTAGTTTCAAATCCTATAGTCGTAACTTGTTGGGGACGGCGTGCTTGTGGTGGTTTATTAAGGATATATGCATAAAAGCAGGAGTTTTTTATCCTATCCATCTGAAGTTGTAATTCCTTCTTTGATTATCACAATTGCCTTTAACAGCATTTATGTGCAAGATCACTTAGGGCAAGAGTACAAGCCTGAGGGTACCAAGGGCAATATCCGTGCAACAAGCCTGAGTTCTGGCTGGAGCACCTATGAAAAATTCTTACTGTCAACAAGAATTCCTTCTGCAGCCTCCTAGGGAGTATGTATGTGTGCCAGAGCATTAGCTCTGCCAGTCTTAGGGAGTATTGGGGGAAGCTTCTGGCACCTTTCTCTGTCCAAAAAAGAGCCCTGTCAGCTGCTCAGCAGGTGGTCTGAATCTGACCCTTACTGAAGATTGTGATTGAAATGGGGCATAAGCAAATGGACCAATGAACAAAACCCCTGTTTTTTATACAAATATACCTAACAGAGTACAAGAGAAATCAAAAAAATTAGGAACAGAGTTAGCTTTTTCTTTCACACAGCATTAACATGTCATGTCCTTCCAGAATCTTCAAATTCTGGATCTAGCTAATTTTGTTGAAGAGTTAAAACATTGGCTTATCATTCAGCACTTGTGAATTACAGTAAAATACCCCAGCTATAGTCCATGCAGAATCTTTCAGCATCTGATAATGTGTGTCTTGTTCAAGCTTTAGAGGTGTCTTTATTATGTATTCAGGTTCCTTTGGGGTTTAGAGGCTATGAAATGGATATAATGGAGTTCATGGCTTTTTGTTGGGGAGAACTACAAGTTATTAACTGTTAAAATAAATTAGTAAATTAACACTCTACATATGCTTTTCTTCTTGTCCAGACCAGCATGTTTTGGAAATTTGATCTCCATTCGTCATCCCACATAGACACACTTCTAGAAAGAGAAGATGTAACGCTGAAGGAATTGATGGACGAGGAGGATGTTTTGCAGGAATGCAAAGCTCAGAATCGCAAACTTATAGAGTTTCTGTTGAAATCAGAATGTCTGGAAGATTTAGTTTCATTTATTATAGAAGAACCACCTCAAGACATGGATGAAAAGATCAGATACAAGTAGGAAAACACTACTTTTCTGTGAGATTGGGGAGGGGTAGAGAGAAGAAAAATCTGTATTTAATTCCTGTAGGCCAGTCTGTAGTGGCACTGGTATGCTCTTAAAGGTTCTGTCTTCTGCTTTATAGTAAGTCTTGCATTTTCAGAGTGTTTTATGCTACTTAACATCATGACTCCTATTAATTCTTATAGATTTAGTATGGTTAAGCCCCCCTCTTCCTCTGAAAACTCCCCCTAAATTGATTTGGTGCCCAAAAGGTGAAAGGGTCCATTGAAGGGAATATCTCAAGTGACTGTCTAGAAAGCCTCACTCCTTGTTGTAGCATTAGAAATAGAGTGATACTAATAGGGATTTGTGGGGAATATACCACCCAATCAAACACTTGTTGTACCCATGTTGTTAATGGCTAGTGAAGATCATTGTGGATGAATGGTAGAGATTTTATCACCGCTGTAAGGGAATGTGGTTAATCTCGAATTATAAACCTTCAGTGTGGAAATATGAACCTGCAGATGTGGCCAAGAACCGTTTTTCATTTGTTTGGCAAAAAAGGGTTCAGACTTTTATTTATATACCTTGCTACAGTTATCCAAGCACTTCTTCCATCTGGCTTAGGCAATTTCAGTGCACTGTACATGGAGCTGCACCTGATGATCACTTGAAAACTAAGGGCATAATGTGGCTGCCATCTTAATAAGCAGTATTTCAGGCAAAGAGTATGTTACGTCAGGCCTCCATAGTTTGCTGTGGCTTCTAGTTAAGTTTTGGGTAGAGATTAAGGTATGTTTAACTAAAGTAACTGAGATGCTGTCCCACAGCTCTTACTGTGTGATATCCATGCAGTTAAAATAAGTCCATATGCTAACTATTGGTTTGTTTAAATTTGTTTTTAAAGCACTTAGAGGCATTTTTTAAAAGAAATAAATGTAAGTGAATAAATGCACAGGACTGTGGGTCTGCATACCTTTGTTACTAAAATACTGGAAAATTGTTTTTTGCTATATAGCTACCCAGTGTAAAGTGGATAAAGCCTTATGTTGTTTTGCATGTAGATATTGTGTATGTTGTAGTATTTTAGATTAAACTATCCAAAAACTGTCCCAGTTTTTTTGTTTCTAACTTGGCATGAGGCAATCTAGTCAACTTGGTAGGGTTTTGTGAGAGATGCTGCTGCCTGAATTAGGGAGACTTTTTTAACAAACCTATTAAAAACGTTAGAAATATTATTGATCCAGAAATCATCATGCTGACTTTGTGGTCTTCATATGAACTCTGGGAATAAAACAGAGTATCAGGACTATCTGTTCTTCGCTTGCTGACACGTGAATCGATCCCACCTCTTTCCCCCCCCCCCCCCAAGACAAAATGGGAAATGGTTTCTGAAGTGGGGAGGTTAGTCCTCAGACAGGAGGGCTAACCAGTAGATATTAAGCTAAAAGCCCACCATATACTATTTGTATTGCTTCTGACACTCAACTTGTATGATATCTGTACTGCTGCAGTATAGTGGGAGACTGGAGAAGCCTGATCTCAGAATAAAAGCATAAAACCTTTTTACAGACCAGTAAATTTATATTTAGACTAATTTACCCAACTCTCTGCAAATCAGCAGCCTTATGGTTTTCCATATCTGTCCAACAAGCCCTCCAAACTGCTTCATTTTGATTCCATATTTTACTGTGTAATATTTGTTTTATAAGCATGAGTGATGGAAGGTGTCCCTTTTTTTTCTAGGTATCCGAATATATCTTGTGAGCTGCTTACGTCAGATGTCTCGCAGATCAATGATAGACTGGGAGAAGAAGAGTCCTTACTTATGAAACTGTACAGCTTCCTATTAAATGAATCCCCCCTCAACCCTTTATTGGCCAGTTTCTTCAGCAAGGTGCTAAGTATTCTTATCAGCAGAAAACCGGAACAGGTAAATATTTACAAGCTCTTCCGTTTGTAGCATGTGCTTCAATAGCTGCAACATTGAGATGCCCTCCTCCTGTAGGGCTACCATTTTAAAAGGTTGTAGCTGAATCAAGCAACCGGATTCACTTTTCCCATGACAATTGAAAGTTTTCTAGTAGAGATGAGCACTAAGAATATAACACAATCTGGGTAACTCACACTGACTTATCTTGTCCTAACTTTGTTTATCAGAACAGCTGTCTGGTCAGAAATGTGTTACTAAGGGGAAGTATTTTCTTCCGCCCACTCCTGAATTGACTGCTTGCTGTCACCATCCCTTAGTTAAAGAGGTTTAATAGGTTTTTTTAAGGCCAGAAGGGACTATCATGATCATCTAATCCCCTTTGTAAAATTCTTGTATAGTGCAACCTTTACAAAATATTTGAAAATAACCTCTTCAGTTTGTCTCAGTTCAGTAAGATTCCTTTTCTGTATATTCAAATCCATCCTCTCCAATATAGGCAATGTCATTAGCACTGCTAGAAATCACCCATTCTGTGTCTTGTTACTAGTCTCTTGTGCTTAATGATCTGATGATAGCAGCAGTGTATCAGTATCACTTGTAGTCTGTTTAGGCCTATTCACAGACCACAGATAGAGCCTACTTAAATTTTTGCATGGTTCTGATAACTGTAACTAACTGTTTGCAGAGTGCACAAAGCATTTTTCATTGTACTGTGGTGTGTGAAGAGCCATGGCCTATCCATGCTTACCACACTAGTTATTCTTGTGTAAGTAGATTCTGGGTAGCTTTTCTATATTGCCTGAGCTGCTATTGCCAGAAAGAGAATTGTTTTTGTGGGTTTTTTGTATAGTAAAGTGTTGGATCAGGGTACAGGAAGGTTGTCCCTGGTGTAGATAAAGTAGTTCTTTTTTAGTAGTGTGGATAGTACTTTAAAGCTAAACCTGTAGATGGTCCATGACTCCAGCATGGTTCATGCTAAATGATGTGGCCTACACTAGATAATGGAACCCTATCGTAAGAAAAATTCCCTGTAAGGTTCTACTTGTAGAATAGATGTGCCTTTTGCCTTCTCTCTGGGCAAAATTTGGGGGTGTAATTCACCACCAGTATAGCTCGACTGGTGGAAGCTGTAATGTATAGACAGGGCTCAGGGTTTTCCCACCAGGTCATCTAATCGTGCCTGAGCTCAGTCTGCACTACAGCTTCCTTTGTTGCTATTACCAGTGGCGTTGGAGCAGTGATGAATTATGCAATTCAATTTGTGGCTGTGTAGACACAGCCACAGTATAGCTTTCAGACCTGTTTTTTTTTCAGCATGGATATTTGTGGTTCCAATAGTATGTTAAAGTCAGGAGTGGTGGCGGAGAAAGAAGAGAGTTGCTGCAGGAAATGTGAGGGCTGCAGTACCATCTTACAGCTCACTATTGCTATCCCCATTTGTTTAGCTTATCATTGCTTTGCAGAGGTAAGATGGGCACGACAGCTCTTATAGGGGCCTCCCATCTTACTCATCTCCTTCTCCCCTCCATTTTCTTTTTTTTTAATTATTTTTATTTTTAAAGCTCTTTGTGTGAAGAGGTCTGTGCGCAAGCAAGAACTTGGTCTAAAGTGGAGCAGACCACAGAACTGTAACTGGTCCCAGCAGCTGGGATCCTCTACCTCTGACTCCTTAAATATCATAGAGAAGCTATCAAGAATAAGTGTCCTCTTTCTCCTGTGATGCCAGGACAATATCCTGTTCCATTGGGGTTCTATCCTCCTTCCCCTTGTGGTTCAGTACTGTCTGCTCCCCTAACACATACCACATCTCCCTAGGAAAACTTGCTCTTTCCTGACACACTTCAAGAACAGTTTTGGGTAAAACTATCTGATTATTGTTGGCCTTATGGGTGAAGGAGCATCTTCCTTATAAAAAAAAAAAAAAGAAAGCCTATTGATAAATCTCTCTGTGGGTTTCCACAACCGTTATAAAAATTTTGCTGTAGCTAGTGGAACCATATTTTGTGAAGCAATTTTCAAGAACTTAAGTTTTGGGAAAGGGCAAATTTTGGGACGTAGCTGAAGAAAGTGCCAGACAAATTGAATGACTTCTATGATACTGATCTAATGCATTGGATTTCAGTGGCTAGATAGCATGCATAGTGGTATCTGGTTACCTGTTAACAGGTGTGAACTAGTCTGTTACAAAGTACTCTCACAATGCAGTTCTGTTCATGCTGCGTCACTTAATGTTTTAAATGCTTTGTGTCAATGCTTGCTTTAATTTTATGAATTGCTTTAGAAACTATCCTCAGCATAAAGGATTCCCATAATCTTCTAACAGTCATGATAACTTAATTTGTGTGTTTCCACGGAGTGCCAATTGAGATTTACAGTATTCTTCTCTTATTCAAATTATTGCTCTGGGAAGACTCTAAAGAAATCTACTTACTTGACTCAGCACCACCAAAAAAATCTCCTTGGCCCACATTTCTATTTGTCATACACAACTTCTTAAATTTTGTAGATAAGCCAAATAAAAATAAGAAATGTTTCCACACTTTGCAGTTCCAATGAAAAGTTTTTAAATAATCCCCTGCAGTGTTTAAAATGCAAATAATGCAGCACTAAGAATCTGAAAGTGGAATAGGCTTGGTTTTCATTGTCCAAGCTAAATGAAATTCAACAAGTAAATGACTAAATAAAAAAAGAGAAATAAGGTGTTAACACAACTAAAGATCTGCTTGAAGTGCTTTAAACTGTTCTTCTTTAGTTTAAAAGGACAGTGTTAAAAAGTCTGCCTAATTTTGGATTGTCCACTCTAGATGGGTGAACATTTTGTTCAGAAATCTCTTCTCCTGCCTTCACCACTCTCAAAACTTGTGAAACAGAACATATTTGAAATACTAATCTACTAGGGGAAATAAAGAAAAAGTACTTGCAGCAAAATGTAAACTTGTTTTTTTTATTATTTCTTCTAGATTGTGGATTTCTTAAAGAAAAAACATGATTTTGTAGACCTCATTATAAAGCACATAGGGACCTCTGCTATTATGGACTTGTTGCTCAGGCTGCTTACTTGTATAGAACCTCCACAGCCCAGGCAAGAAGTATTAAATGTAAGTAAAATTATGACTTGTTATAGTGGTTGGCATGGGTGAACTCTTAGGACCTGTCTGTTACGCTAGTTTAGTTTAACTTCACGTGGTTTAAACGTATATGGTGGCACTGGTGTAAACTCCTGTGTTTAAATAGAAATTGCAAGAGTGACTAATCTCTCACAAGACTTCTCTTCTCCCAGTTTGTTTTTAACATCTGTTTAACTCAGACCCTTGTGTTTTAAACTGCCTTCTAAAGATTTGGCCTAAACAGTTTGTGGTCATTTTAATTGTTGTTTTTAAACCAATTAGGCCTTGTCTACACTTAAATTCTGCTGGTTTAACTATGCCAATATAGTTAAAGCAGCAAAAACCCTGTTGTAGATGCAGTTCTACTAGTATAGCTAGTGTAGATGAAGTTAAGTTGGTATAGCTTATTTCACTTTATTAAACTGAAATAAGATAGGTCAGTATAATTATATCTACATTAGGGGAGTTCTGCTGGCGTAAAATTAATTTAATTTAAAAAAAAACCCACTACCAATATAGTTATGCTGGTAAAACAGTGTTAGACCAGGTCATGGTTAAACTGGTGCAAACCCCAAGTGTGGTCACACTTATATCAGTTTAAAACTGTTACTGGTTTAGCTTGTCAGTTTTAAACTGGTGTCAGTTTGCACCAGTTTCATTAAGTCAGTCTTCAAACTTCCCTAACTAATTGGTCAGTCTTCAAACTTGCACTGTAAATTGGTCAGGTTCTACTTCTTTATCTCTTGGTGGCCATGCTAAGCAAGGCCCTACTCTTGATGGCATTTCTCTGATTGTTCAGGTCTGAACTACAAATGTATGCCAGCATAGTAGTTATCTTGCTCAGGAGTGTGAGATGTGGGTTTTGTGACCTGGTATATCTACACTAGCAACACTTTGCCACTATTATATACTGATATACCAGTACCAGCAAAGCACTTCTGAGACTACTGGCCTCTGTTTTGGATGTAACACAATAATAAGGGGAACTTGTGTGGGAGAATGGAGGGATTCTGGGAGCCCCTCGTGTGTGCAAAGCATTGTTCCTACAGAAGCAACAAAATGTACAACCCTTTATTAATGTTACCTTGATACTCTGAGAAACTATCTATGCTTTTTTTCCCTGAAGTTATTCATGTAAAGAAGGCTTTTTTTGAAAGCCTCATATGGTGGTGGTGGGTGGTGGTGGTTTCTTTGACGTAATTGTTTCTTTGCATCTTTAAAGTTCAGCTTTGGGCCTTTTGTAAAATATAGTTCTGATCTCCATTGTAACTGGAACTATAGCTTTTTGTATTAGGAAACCTAATGTTTCAAACATGTGCATGAGTTAGGATTGCACAACTATGAGATCAGCGTGACCTGTTTAAAGCCTCAATTAAATACGTGGTATCTAGATGTAGTTCCATAATCTGTAAAGCTCTAGGAATTCAGGAATACCGTGAACTTTTTAAATATTATGCTGAGTAGTTCACAACTGTTCATTTTGGAGTCTTGTATTTGAATTGCTGTGTATTTGTGGCAGGTTGCCACAAATGTGGCTTTTTTAGAAACAAACAAAACTTGTGTGATACTAGTGCTTGAAAGAGGTACTAATAACATGACCTGAATCAAGTACTGTATAGGCAAGATACTGTACTATATTTCTGGGTACTGTAGTACTCCTACAACTAAGTTATGGGCTTTTTTTTAATAGTGACTGTGAATTGATTGTACGGTAACTCCTTGCTTAACTTTGTAGTTATGTTCTTGAAAAATGCGACTTTAAGTGAAACGATGTTAAGTGAATCCAATATCCCCATAAGAATTAATGTAAATGGAGGAGGGTTAGGTTCCAGGGAATTTTTTTCTGCCATACAAAAGACATTGTATACATATAAAGTATAAATTTTAAACAATTTTAAACAATTTAATACTGTAATCAGCAATGATGATGATGAAACTTGGTCGAGGTGGTGGAGTCCGAGGGTGGAAGAGGGTGGATCGTCTGGCTGCTCCTCTTGCTGAACCTTTCCAACTCGAAAAAGCACATCTAGAGATTGTTTTGCTTTCCCTCCCCCCCCCCACCCCGCTCTGTAAATTTCTTTATAGCAATTCATTGCATGACCAGCTCCCCTAACCACTTCGGAGCTGTGTTCCCTGTTAGGATCATCATCACTAAGGATTTGCAAGCCAGCAGCTTCAATCATTTGGAAAGCTTCAGAAAGATGTTTGGCAGTCAAATTTTGATGGATTGGTGGTTCTTTTACTTCTTGGCCCTCTTGTTCCATTGCTCTCATAACCTCTAGTTGCATCAGATTTTCATTGGTTAGCTCTTCTCCTTGTGATTGCAGAAGCTGTGTAACGTCAGCTTCTTCCACCTCATCAAAACCTGCTTTCATGGCCAAGCCAAGGATAACTTTCTTCATAGCGGGGACGACATCTTTAAATCCTATTAAGTCTTTGACACGTTCAGGCCACAGCTTTCCCCACACACCATTCATGCATGCCTGAGTAACTTCAGCCGAGGACTCACCGATGTTATCGATGCACTTGCGGATGTTATAATCACGCCAAAATTTCCGAATTGTAGGCTTGCCTTCCCCATCGGTGCCTCTGATGAGCTGGTCAAAAGTACGGTGTAAGTAATACCCTTTAAATGCAGCAATGGTGCCTTGGTCCGTGGGTTGGATGAGTGATGTGGTGTTAGGTGGCAGAAAGACAACTTTAACGTTTTCACACAGGTCGTCCAGGTTGATTGGATGAGCTGGTGCATTATCAATAAGTAATAAAATCTTGAAATCAAGATTTTCCTTGGCACAATATTCCTTCCATGCAGGGACGGCATAGAGAGTCAGCCATTCTGAAAAAAACAGTTATCCATGCCGCCTTATTGGATGTCCAAATGACCAGAAGGTGTTCCTTTGAAAATCTCTTGAGAGCTCGTGGTGTTTCGGATTGGTACGCTGTCAGCGGTTTCATCTTCATGTCTCCGGTAGCATTACCACCTAAAAGCAAGGTTAGGCGGTCTTTAGCTGCTTTAAATCCGGGCACTGTCTTCTCTTGGGAATGTAAGTGTTTACTATAGTCTAGTATGTCTGTTGCTATAGTAGTTTCCGCCCGATCTGCATGAAGAGCGATACATAGCCCTCCACCATTACATTTAAAACAGACTTGCACAGGGCCACTGGAGCAATGTCCTATCTCAGCTCCTTGAGCCCTTTCTGTTTCTTGCTCACACACGTTAGCAGCTCCCCTTTCCCCAAATCTTCCTGCAGTCACTAATCAGAGGATTGTCTGGGGTCCTGCTCACGAGCTCCCTGAGCTTCTCCTAATGCAACCGTGTTGATATCAGGTGGGATATTTCCCAGCGAATGCCTTGCTGCTAAATGATGAACTAGCACTCTGCTGAGCCCTCAAGGGTAAACATGTTGTTGTTAGTGTAGCCTCACACTCTACAAGGCAGCACTGAGGGAGGAGACACAGCAGAGGCTGCAAACACTTCCCTGGGGAAACTCAACATGATGATGAACCCACGCTATCCCTCTGGAGTGTGCACAGTAGTGCAAGTAGGGTGGTACCCTCCAGTATGCAGTACTGGCAAGAGGTTTTTAGCAGGTACAGGGTACTGGAAAGACTTGGGGCTAGCCCCCACCTCCGGAGGGATGGGGTGGGGCTATGCTTGGGGCTAGGGAGGGCATTCATTCTTTATATGGCTTTAAAAGCACAATACATATGGTAACAAACTTAAAGGCTTTGTTTGTTTAAGTTTCTTAGCATATATATTGTGCTGTTAAGTTGGTCAGAAGTCCTCAAGAGGGGAGGGGTGGGGGGGACGGAAGGTGTTTAAACAGTGTTTTTGATTCTGTTTTATCCCCATTGGTCTGAATTATCCATGACATTCATACTGCATCACATCAAGTCCAAATCATTAGAGGAAAGTCTCTGCTTGCACTGACCAGAGGATGTTTGGATTCTCATGTCAGCCCAGTTCTGGCAGCCTGATGGGAATCAGGTGTTGTCCCCAGTGGACATTAGACTAGTTTTGTCTCCAAAGAAGAATTCTAACATGCATTTTGTTAAGTGGAACTGGAGCACCAAAGCAAAGAAAACAAATGCCTTATTTCCCAGTTTTGTGGGTGAGAGAACTATAAGTGAAGATTATAACTGATGGCCTTAAAGCAGCTGGCTCAGGAATCTGCGAAGAACTTTTCTGAAAACATGTTCCTCATCTTAGCAACGGAGCTAAGACTTATCCTCACATCTGCCCACCTTTATTCGAATGAAGCTCCGTCTGATCTGACAGCTCTAGCATTGTCTGTTTCATCCAGAACAATTTACAAACTTGGAACCTAATCCTGTAAACCCATAATCATTTGATCAATCCCATTGAAGACAATGGGACTATTTGCATGACTATGGACCACTTTTGTGGTAAGAGTTTCAGGAGTCTGCTCTGTTCCTATAAAGGAAGTTGAATCTCCCATTGAATGCAATTTTTGGGTACAATACCATAATGCAGTTTAGGATACAGTTCGACTTAAAATGTGTCTTTTAATAAGTCATACATATGCTGAAATGGCTCCTCACCCAACTCACACATTCCATATAAACAGACAGAAATACTATATTTGGGGGAAAGTGAGTAGTTAAGCATGTTCATGTTTGTATATACAAACACCCTTTTCATCACTGTTCTGGAAAATATAGTTGAATTTAATTTTCTATGGAATTTGAAGAAAGTTTAACAGCCCCAATTGTTTTCTGTGTTAATCAGTCTGTACCTGAAAAAAATGACATGCCTTCTAAGAGAAAAGAATCAGTCCACATTTACTGAAAAAAAAATTCCTTCCAACTGGTGTTCAGAAGAGTGCTACAAGACACATGCATAACCTCATGAGCAGAGGGTGGAGAGGATACCCTCCCACATTGACCAGCAAATAAATAAAATAAAATAAAATTAATAATAAAATCTCAGAGGCAGAGGTTCACAGATTTGGAAACCTAAAAACCTGTGC